CTCCCGCAGGTGCAGGGGCTCCGGGCCATACGGACAGGACCCTGTTTCCACCTCTATGCTGAGAGGGGTTTGGTTGGGTTTTTTCCCAGCCTCGTACCCCGAAATCTTTCTTTTCCCTCACTGCCAATTCGTTTTTCTCACACTTTAAGAAAAAAAACAACAAACTAAAGACAAGCCCAACCTTGTCTTGAAGGAGAAGCTTCCCAGCCCTGCCCCAAGGGAAGCGGTTCAAGGTGGGACACTGTCCCGCCGTGTATTTCACATCTACTTCTGCACCAAGGCAGAAGGAAGGAGGCAGCATCCATGTGCCTCTGGAGTCACTTCCATGGGACCAGAGCCCATATGGGGAAACACAGATTTTTCATCTTAAGAAACCACTTTGATCCAACAATGAGGAAGTCGGATTCCCACGTACTGCGTCTTACCCATGAAGCGAAGCCATCGCACCATCTCCTGCCTCCTTCTCACTTCCCAGAGGGCCAGAGCTCATGGCCAGCAGCATTTCCAGATCCTCTGACAAGAGGTGACGACACCAAGTCCAAATATATTCCTTACTATTAAAAGTACCAAACAGGCAATACCAGTGGGAATTAGAGTGAAGAGATGGTCTTAAAGACAGTAATAAAGACTTCTCATTAAGGCAGGGCAATTAATGTGGACTGTAGCGTTGTCAACAGGCAGGGAGAGACAAGATAAACCTGACAGTTTTTAAGGAACATCCTGCATTCAGTGCGCTTAGATTAAGCTGGAACATGTTGCTTCTTTCTTTTTAAATCTCCCAGAAAAATTGCAAAAGCAAAGCTGTAAAGGCAACTGATTTCTGGAGACTGCTTTTTCGAATGCTGCCCCAAGTCATGCAACATGCTGTAACTACCTCAACAGATGCTTTAATCCATTTTAGAAATCCAAACGTCCAGCTTGGAGATCTGTATTTCCCAGGGCTAGCGAGAGCAAGACAACGTCCAGACTGCTGCTGCTAGAATGTTACGGAAGACAACTGGGAAAAAGGCCTTGACTACATTTAAGGCAGCAGTAGATCTATTTGGATGGGAGTTATTTAATATCTTTTCCTTACCTTGTATAAACAGAAACTTCAGCTCATGATGCTGAACGCGTTGTCCACCTCTCTGCCGCTGTACCGCTTCTGCCTAAGCTTCCAAAGGCAAACCAGGTTGACTCTGGATGCTTATAACCCACCAAGGACCCTGATTTCCAGGTGTAGAAAGACAACAGAGGTAATACCTCTCCTTTAGAGTTTCCTACACCCTGCCTACGTGCTTTTGAAACACGAATCATTCACGTGCAAGCGCGCACAGGACCAACTATCTCTTGAATCACCGTGCTCCAGATGAGCAGACGGAACGGTCACGGGCAGGTATCTCTGCAGTTGTGCAGGGCAATGCAGGAGGGGCAGAGCTGTTGCCCGAGTGCTTAAGTCCTAACCTGCGTCAGGTGAAGCTGAGGGAGACCCCACCACCAGTCCTTTCTGAGCAGAGCCACCAGCACTTACTAAGCAGAAACATGGCACGGATGAGTGCCATCCCACAGCTGAAGCATGTCACTTGGCAGCGTCAGCACCTTCTCTGGAAACTCTACTGGGAGAAGGAAAAACCACAGCATTAACCATGACCTTGTTCCACTTGTCATTTATTTTCCTGGCCATCATGTGTGGTCCTTTTCTAATTTCACACGTCCGTTTTCACGGGGATCTTCACAACCTAGATACCATCAGGGACTTCCCTTTGGCACCAAGCATCCCTCTAAGAAGCACTTCGAGCGACGTTTCAGTGTCCCCCCTCCCACGGCATTAATAATCACGGCCTTCCCATGATCACCCATACATAAAACCATACGGGGAAGACCTATTTATGGCTTTGTCCCAACTCTGAACTAACCAACTGAACATAATGGCGTGTTTAATCTTCATTAGAACGGCTTGGCGCAGCCGTCCAGGGCGACGTGCTGTGCCATCTGCTGCCCGCCTGCGCCGGGCGAGCGGATACGCTGCCTTCGCTCCTGCCTTCAGCCTAAATCCCAGCGTTCCTGGGGAGCGTGTCCGTAACAACGCACTGATTTCTTATTGCCCTTACTTACTGCTCAGATGGAAGTTGCTAGAATTTTGCTTGCCAGCCGCCTAAAGCTTTTTGAGGAAACACAAAACTGCCTCGGACGCTTGCAGCTTGCCTGCAGATCTACCAAAGAGGGTTAACCCTTAATTTCCACACAGAGTGCCAAACACGTGCGAGCAGGAGCTGCAGTAATGAGATCTGTTAGCATCTCTGCCGGTTATTTTCCATATCCCACGTGATGCCTATTACACAACACCATTCCTCCCCAGAAAAAGCACCTAAGCTGCTTTTTTTTTTTCCCCAGCACATTACCTTTTACTGACCTCTTTGCAAAGCCTGAGGAGCATAGTTCAGTGTTATCAGCTGCGGCCTCCATTGTCATCTCAGTGTGGAGTTAATAAAAGGTGTAGTTTTGGGAAAAGCTCTAGCTCCCTCCTTGGTGAGGCTGGGGCCAGCTTAAAGCCTTGCACTTCTCACAAGGAAGAGCAACCAGGTGACACTTGATTGCTGTTCACAGGAAGGGAGGACCATTAAGCACAGGTGAAGGACATCTTTACCCCCCCAGTTAACAGGTGACACATGCCACCTGAGGCCATCAGGTTACAGAGAGCATTGCTCAAATGAGGAGACATGTTCAGTGACCCCTTCAAGCAAGCCTCACTTTTGCCCCCATGACCCTCTTGCAGAACAAGGCCCAGGATTCAGCACACGCCTCTGCCTCAGGCACTGAGCTACCCGATTCCCTGGAAAAGCAGGGCTCCAGACTGTGATTTTTGTCTTAAAACAGCAGCTGCCAGGAAATCCCATACAAGAGCCCCAGCTCCCTTTTGCTACGTACCAAGAACAGCATTAATGTCCAGGTCCCAGGAGGTTCCTTTGACTTCAACATCCTTCCTCTCCTTCACAAGGATTTTGCCACATTGAAAGCATATATAGGCTCACCCCCAGCCACTGCAGGATACGAAGAATTAATCCTTACTCCTACACTAAACTGCGACCTTTCCTCTTCCCACACAGACATCAGCTACCAGCACAGCCAGCAAATCCCAGCACTGACCTGAAACACCAAGTTTTTCTTCTCTGCTGCCACCAAACTTCCTCCGGCCCTTACAGGAGGTTCCATTACCTCTTGCTGTGCAAAACGCCACAGCTCTGCGGGCAGGTGAAGACCATCCAAGGCATTTCACGGAGACCATCAATTCTCAATGCTTTGTAGCCTGTTTGTGTGGAGTATTTTTCTTTTTTTTAATTATTACGTATTATGTAGCATTTATCTGCTGTTTGCCCTGTAAGCAGCAGGGGGCAAACAAACCCAGTTTGTTTGGCCATTCAAGGCCACAGAACTTGTCATTTCACCGTTTTGCCCTATACATCCATCTACCACACCAGTATCCCCTCTGAAATCACCATGCATAGCTCCATATCCCATGGATCGGGGACACATAAGGACTACAAAAAGTCTCCTGACTTGTGTTCCCACCTGTACAGCTTAAATTTTTCGGTTTTCTACCTCTCCCTTCAATAATCAGCTTTAAAAATTAACAAAGTATTTTCCAGTCAGCTATCAACAGCGTGTTCCTGGCAGAAACAGGCCTAGGGTACCAAGGTTTACATCAAAACACACAGAAGCATCTTTCACTTACAGAAAATGAGCAGAGCACTTTTTCATATTACAGCACCTGGCGTGCCACGGGTTCAAGGGCACACACTTCTCTTTTGGCTTTCCCCAAGACTATCAGACACACACACAAAAGAACAAAAGCACAAAACAAACCCCCTAGCTACAGTACCACTTCGTGACATCAAATAGCATTTATTGGCAAGACAGTTATTCCCTTTAACTGATTTCCCATGGGAAACAGTCAGTAGTACCCTTCAGATGCTACTGGCTCACAAATCAAGGCATGGGCTCCCTGAAATCTGTCCTAGACACAACTGCAGTTCCTACCCGAGACAGTGTTTGTTAAACTTTTAAGAAAAACTCATCAGTCATTCCTCCTCTGCAGCCTGAACTGGAACTGCCCACTCCCAGCAAGAACTTCGGTGTGAGGTTAAATGTTTTCCCACCAGAAGGGACAGCAATAATCGTAACATTTGGAAAGTTTACCATCAAACTGAAGACCTTTTGTCTTACCTGTTTGTCCTCTATCAATGCTACGTTAGACCTGTAAGAGCAGATCAGTTAACATACGTATCAGAGGTGAAGTCAACGTATTTGTCACAAATAGATCTTACTACGAAATCCAGAAAAGTCCTTGCTTCGCTTCTCACTGAATTCAAGAGGGGAAACCGTCCTCTCAGAGCATGTGGGATTTAAAAAATAGCTTTATGCTCAGTTACAAAACGAAAAATATTTCAGGGAGCCTCCAAGTACTTAATTCTTAAACATACGAGCACAAGGAGTTAATCAGAACAAGAATTAGAGAAAATAACGTAACAACACTTCTCATTCTGCAGCTCAACACACAAAAAGGATGGACCAGAACGAGACAGTAAAAAGGAGAAGGCAGGGACAGCTGCAGGAATCCCACCCTCCAGAGGTCCCTCCATCCCACTCCCATCTCCCCATCAGTCCCCACCACCCAATTCATGCCCTTCCTTTGTCACATCCCCTGCAGCCTCCCAAAAAAGTATTTTCAGTACGGAAAGATGACAGCATCGCAATAGAGGAGAACTCCTTAACACAGGCCAGGTGAGGAAATGGTCCTGTTCTCCTTTTAGATGTTGCACCTTCTCAAAAGCATCCTTTGAAAAAAAAAAACCAACAATAAATAAAAGCCCTCCCACCCCTCACTCTTCTTAAGGATAAAACACACACGATCTTTTACAAAACTTTTATTGCATTCAGTAGTGCTCCTCGCAGCCCTGGGAAACAAAGCAAAAGACTTCTCACTGAAGCTTCCTGCTTTTCTTAACTCCTGCACGAATGCCAGACAGCTCCCCGGCATATCTGTCCAACTCCCTGCGAACTTCCCGGACCTGGCCCTTGCGGCGAATCTTGGCTCGCCGAAACTTCTCCCGATGCTTGACCCTGGGGTTGCGGTCGATCTTCTTCCTTCTGGGTGTCAGGCCTTTGTTCTTAATCATCTGATAGGTGACACCTCTCTTCTTATTTGGATCCTCTCCTTCTAACACCGCTTCTTCTTCAAGCACGTCTTGGTCGGCAGTTCTCTTCCTCTTCAGTTTCAGCTTCTCCTCCATCATATTGTAGTATTTTAGGGCAGCCTCTTCATCCAGGTCGGATTCACTTGACGGTTCATCAGCAGTAGCCCGGCCATTAGCAAGCGCAGGAGCACGTTTTGGTTTGCTTTTCTTAACATCCAGTGGGAGAAACACGGCAAACTTCTTGTCTTTCCGCAATTTATCTTCCTTCTTATCATAGTAGCTTTTCAGAAGCACGCGAACCTGCGAGGATAACTTTTGATCGATAACAGCTAGGTCGTTGATGACATTTCTAAAAGCCACCAGCCGTTCGATAACGGGGTGGCTATGGACCGGCATCCTCTTGGACTTCAGAAGCAAATAGAAACTGATATTGGCACAATAACTCAAGTAGAGATTGTACTTAGTCTGCAAATAGCGACTGCCTTTCCCTTGCGGGATAGTGCCGTTCCTGACCATCTGCAGCAGCGGGTGCAGCTCGTCCTTGAGCTCCATCAGCTTGACTTCAAAGTCCTCAATCAGCTGCAGGAGCTCAGGGGACTCCTGCTTCAGAAGCTTCAGCTGCTCCTTCTTGGAAAGAGCCTGCAAATCTTTGTCAATCTTCTGCCCCTCGCCATCGTGGGTTTTCTGCTGCTCAGCCAGATAGCCCTGGATCACATCCAGCCCGTAATCTTCTTCCCCCAAGTCTCGCCCCACCCGCCTCTGGATGACTTGAGCCTCCTGCTCCTCTTCCTCCTCCTCAGCATCGACTTCTTGCTGGCTACGCTTGCCCTTGGCCTGGACATCGCTCCCATAATCCGTGTCGTAGTAGAGCTGCTTGCGTTGGCCCCAGGAGAGCTCGTGGGGGAGCTTGGTGTCTGGATGGCGCTCCTCCAAATCGCTTTCCATGGACAGGTCCTCATCTTCATCTTCACCCTCATCTTCGCCTTCTCCATCCTCCTCTTCCTCCCCCTCGTCATCTCCATCCTCGTCACTTTCTCCACCCTCCTCTGCACTGTGGTCCACGTAAAGATCCAGGCTCCGTACCTCCTCCTCCTCCTCTTCTTCCTCACCGTGTCCATCCTCCTCCTCGTCGCTGTCCTCGGGCAGCTGCAACCCCAGCACCTCCTCCTCCTCCTCCTCGCTGTCCCCAGCCTCCTCCCCGCTCTCCA